ATATACATAAAAAAATGCTGAAATGTTCGATACCTATTTTTCCTGATATATATATATATATAAAAACACACTTGGATAGGCTGCTGTGCCAGCTTTTCACGCATGCACCTTTATCAAAACGCATCTGCATGGAAACTGTATGATCTTTTTGATTGTTTTTAGATTTTTGATTGGTTTCTGTGCGGCCTTGCAAGAGCACCGCACTGCAGGATGAGATGCACGGGGGTTCCATTCAGGATGAATGGCACCCCCCCCCCCCGTCTCGCAAGAGAAACGCGATTCAGGTGGTTGCGTGATTCCTGCACCTGAAACATGCAGGCTAGTGTGAACCTGCAGTTTCTGTGTGAATGCGTTTTTGGAAAAGGTGCATACATCTTTTCCTTGGTCACATTATGTACGGCTCTATTCGCACTGCACCGAAAACACGCAGGACCCTTTTTTGGGTCCGCACTAGAATCGGATCGCAGGGGGTATTCACACGTACGCGATCTGATTCTGCACATCGCACTGCGTTTTGCGGACCACTTTCAGGGTGTTGCTAACTTAACATACACACCCGAAGCGGTTCGCATGAATGGGGTGCAATTCTGATGCGCTGCGGAATTCGCAATGAAAACGCCGCGAATTCCGCACTGCATCAATGTGAACCAGGGCTGAGGGACTGTTTCAACACACATTACATGTGCATAGTCCACTGCCGTCACCATCAGGAAACACGCTATGAAAAATGCCATGCAGCCATCACTGGAGCGCCTGAAGTGACTGTATAGAGGCTGCAGGAGATCAGCAGCCCTGAATCTGTAAAGGAATAAAAAAAAAAAGGAGTGGTGACAGTATTTTCTTTCAAAATAAATGGCAGTTGTTTGTGAACAGACAGAGAGGTCTTTATGTAAACAATACAGATCTCTCCCCAGTCAGCAGGAACAGGCATTCATACCTATGCGATTCTCCGCATTCACACCTATGAGAAACGCCGAGCAGCCATCACTGGAGCGCCTGAAGTGGTTGTATAGAGGCTGCAGGAGATCAGCAGCCCTGAATTTGTAAAGGAATTTAAAAAAAAAGGGTGGCGACAGTATTTTCTTTCAAAATAAATGGCAGTTGTTTGTGAACTGTCATTACGTTAGGGTTTACCTCTGCTTGAACAGTGGATTGAACGACACCGGCGAGAGATGTCACTTTGTGGTGTGATGCAGCACAGCAAATATGAAGATTCATCATTCGGTGACGGATGGACCCGCGATTTCTTTGGCAACTTTTATTAATGCTCAGCCAAATATGACTCAAACATGAAATAAATAGACTTCCAAAAATGTATTACAAAGTTGCTCATAAATCAGATGTCTGATGCGAGGCGCAGAAGCGATGTTTCACTTTTTGGGAAAAAATTACATTTATATACTTTTTGTTAAGTAAAGAAAAATTCAGGATGAAATCAACTCAGGAAGAAAGCCTTGCTCTGCCGCGAATGGCCTGGGAGGCTGGAGAACGCTGCTCTGGCATCTGCCTTTGAAATGTATCCATAGTCCTCTGATACAATGACGGCGGCTACTCGGGAACATCCACTGTGCCAATTCTTTATTGGCTACATAGCAGGATAGAGTAAAAAGATACTAACGCGTTTCGGCTGAAGTCATATTCATAGCTCATGATACAACGAGCAAGGATTTGCCCAATTGCGACAATTCTTTGTTGGCTACATAGCAGGATAGACTAATAAGAACTAACGCGTTTCGGCGGAGGCCATATTCATAGCTCATGATGCAACGAGCAAGGATTTGCCCAATTGCGACAATTCTTTGTTGGCTACATAGCAGGATAGAATAATAAAAACTAACGCGTTTCGGCTGAGGCCTTATTCATAGCTCATGATGCTGCAAGCAAGGATTTGCCCAATTGCGACAATTCTTTATTGGCTACATAGCAGGATAGAGTAATAACAATCTAACGCGTTTTGGGCAAAGCCTTGCTCATAGCATCATGAGCTATGAATAAGGCCTCAGCCGAAACGCGTTAGCATGTTATTACTTTATCCTGCTATTTAGCCAATAAAGAATTGTCGCAATTGGGCAAAGCCATCATGAGCTATGAATAAGGGCTCAGCCGAAACGCGTTAGCATCTTATTACTCTATCCTGCTATGTAGCCAATAAATAACTGTCGCAATTGGGCAAAGCCATCATGAGCTATGAATAAGGCCTCAGCCGAAACGCGTTAGCATCTTATTACTCTATCCTGCTATGTAGCCAACAAAGAATTGTCACAATTGGGCAAAGCCTTGCTCGCAGCATCATCTGGGCCTCAGCCGAAACGCGTTAGAATCTTATTAGTCTATCTTGCTATGTAGCCAACAAAGAATTGTCACAATTGGGCAAAGCCTTGCTCTTAGCATCATAAGGCCTCAGCCGAAACGTGTTAGCATCTTATTACTCCATCCTGCTATGTAGCCAACAAAGAATTGTCACAATTGGGCAAAGCCTTGCTCGCAGCATCATCTGGGCCTCAGCCGAAATGCGTTAGAATCTTATTACTCTATCCTGCTATGTAGCTAATAAAGAATTGTCACAATTGGGCAAAGCCTTGCTCGCAGCATCATCTGGGCCTCAGCCGAAACGCGTTAGAATCTTATTAGTCTATCTTGCTATGTAGCCAACAAAGAATTGTCGCAATTGCTGAGTAGCTGAAACCAACATATTTTAATACTGTATATATATATATTACGGTTACTTAGATAGCACCATCAATATACACAGCACTTTACATATATTGTATATATACATCAGTCCCCAACCGTCAAGGAGCGTACAATCTCCGGCCCCTAAATCACATTTATACATGCTAGGGACAATTTAGCTACCAACATGTCTCTGGAATGTGGGAGGAAGCTCACACAGGCACAGGGAGAACATGCAAACTCCAGGCAGCTGGTGCCGTGGTTGGGATTCAAACCAATGACCCCAGTGCTGCCGGGTGGAAGTGCTAACCACTTACCCACTGTGCTGAACTTGTTACAGCAAAACATTCTTTGAGCCTCAGTTCACACCAGTGCAAGTCGACTTGTCACACAGAATTGTAAAACATGACCAATCACATAGTTTTCGATGGTTCCCGCCCTAATTAATGTACTTGGCATGGTGTGATTTTAGAAAAGGTTCCTGCACTGCTCCAGTGCCATTTCAGCCCCATAGACCGCTGTGTTAACTCACAGAAGTCGCATCAGCATTAGATGGGTTCCTATGCTTCTTTGATGAGATCAATGTTATTTTTGTTTTTTAACCCTCACCTCTCCTTGCTCCTTGGTCATCCTTGCTGTCTAAAAACTCTCCTCCCAAGCACATGCATTCACACCTAAACATAGTGGGAATGCATGTCCCCCCCTTGCGTTTTGGTGCCCCATTTTTCATGTGTAAACACTCATCATGCATAGGGCAGCCCATTCATGTGAATTGGTTGCCCAGCGTACAACACGTTTTTTTTTTCAATGCACCTGTTGTGCCTATTATGAGGGGTTCTCACCATCCTTTCACTGTGTTCCTGGGTCTGTACTCCCGCTGTGCCCATTATGAGGGGTTCCAACCATCCCTGTGCTGAATTCCCAGGTCTCTACACCCGCAGCGCCCATTATGAGGGGTTCTTACCATCCCTGTGCTGAGTTCCCGGGTCTGTACACCTGCTGTAACCATTATGAAGGATTCCCACCATCCCTGTGCTGAATTCCCGGGTCTGTACACCTGCTGTGCCCATTATAAGGGGTTCTCTCCATTCCTGTGCTCAGTTCCTGGGCCTGTATACCTATTGTGCTCATTATGAGGGTCTATCACCATCCTTGTACTGAGTTCCTGGGTCTGTGTACCTATTGTGCTCATTATGAGGGTCTATCACCATCCTTGTCCTGAGTTCCTGGGTCTGTGTACCTATTGTGCTCATTATGAGGGTCTATCACCATCCTTGTACTGAGTTCCTGGGCCTGTATACCTATTGTGCTCATTATGAGGGTCTATCACCATCCTTGTACCTTGTACTGAGTTCCTGGGCCTGTATACCTATTGTGCTCATTATGAGGGTCTATCACCATCCTTGTACTGAGTTCCTGGGCCTGTATACCTATTGTGCTCATTATGAGTGTCTATCACCATCCTTGTACTGAGTTCCTGGGCCTGTATACCTATTGTGCTCATTATGAGGGTCTATCACCATCCTTGTACTGAGTTCCTGGGCCTGTATACCTATTGTGCTCATTATGAGGGTCTATCACTATCCTTGTACTGAGTTCCTGGGCCTGTATACCTATTGTGCTCATTATGAGGGTCTATCACTATCCTTGTACTGAGTTCCTGGGCCTGTATACCTATTGTGCTCATTATGAGGGTTTATCACCATCCTTGTACTGAGTTCCTGGGTCTGTATACCTATTGTGCTCATTATGAGGGTTTATCACCATCCTTGTACTGAGTTCCTGGGCCTGTATACCTATTGTGCTCATTATGAGGGTCTATCACCATCCTTGTACTGAGTTCCTGGGTCTGTATACCTATTGTGCTCATTATGAGGGTTTATCACCATCCTTGTACTGAGTTCCTGGGCCTACATACCTGCTGTGCCCTTCATAACGTGCTCCCACCATTTGTATATTATGGAGAATGTAACAGAAGGAGCTGGACCACAGAAAGATGGACAGGAACACCAAAGTCTCCCAGGTGGACAGGAGCAGTGTCAGGGCAGGAATTACCGTATGTCAAGGAGATCTCAGTGTTGGGGTATCTAAGACAAACATGAAACCAGAGACTGACTCAGCCCCCCCAGGATCCACCTATAACCAAAATTCACTTTTAGGTGAATTGATCCTTTAACTGTAGTATAGAACCTACCCATGACAACCCTTAATTCACTGAAATGAAATAATAACTATTTCCGGAAAGGTTGTTAAAGACTACTATGGAGGACATGTCTTCATTGCCCTTTGTGTTACCCACTGGTAGGCCAATAGAATGTGAGACTTACGTGAATTAGTTGAGGGCGAGGTGGAAGTCATGGGTGTCAGGTTCAACTGCGAGATGTCAAAGTCGTCACAGTCGTCTGTATCTTGCACCAGACCAACTTTGTCAAAGTAGCTTGAGAAGGCATCTGAGGTACACTGGAGGGCAGGCTGGTCCGGTTGTCTCGATGGCACTGGAGGAGGGTTCACCATCTGGAAATCCTTGAACATCTCCTTCGTTACTTTCTGATCTGGCCGTAGGGGGCTTGATCGCATGGAGTCGCTGGAGGGCGGCACAGCGGCTACCGGGGCGGTACTACCTTGGAACATGGCTGCTTGGAAAGGCAATACAGTCTGTGTTGGCATGAAGGCAGCGGGTGGAAACTGACCGGGCAGGGTGGGCCACGGCTGTTGCTGAGTGGGGGGGTAAAGGCCCGGCTGGGCCCATGCTATCGTCTGGTTTCCCTGCATAACCTGAGGAATGGGAGGCTGGCCACCCAAGACCATCTGTGGCTGTATCAATGGTTGTTGTCCCCCAGAACGATGGCTGGACGGCTCCCATTGCGACATAACCTGCCGGGAAAACAAAAAAAAAGATAGAAAATGCCAATCAGAAACAGAAACGTTTGAAAATATTTCCAGATTGAAATGGTAACCTTTATGTAGCCTGTGGTCTACTGAAGTCCCTCAATATGATGCTGTGTCTGTTGTCTTCTGTTGGTTGGGACCAGGGGCGGACTGACCATTTGGAAACTCGGGCACTGCCTGAGGGCCCGGGGCCAGTAGGGGGCCCCCATGAGATGCCCCTGGTACCTTTTTCATAGGCTTTTTTGAGTTTGGGCAAGGACACAGGGGCCCCATGATCCCCTATTGCCCGGAGGCCCCATAAGTTGTCAGACTGATTATGGACACCATGAGAGTTCTATGCCGTCTTATTAATGTATCTCCAGATGCATGGTGGAGTGTAATAATCGATCCAGACTTGTAATGTTACCATTGCCAGGACAAGGTCACCCAGCACCCAGGGCAAACAGGAAACTGCCCCCCCCCCCCCAATGCTTTATTAAGCATGAGTCAGTGTCTACTCAAAACCCCAAAATATATTTACTGGCTTGTTCAAATCATGATGTGCAGTGATGTGATGTACAAATACAATGTGTTCCTGCTGGTCAATTATTTGCCCACCCATGGTGACCCATTCAGATGCAAACCAAATGGTGGTTCATTCATATGCAAATAATGTAGTAATTTGCAAACCAATGCAGAGGCGGACTGACCATTGGGGAACATGGGCACTGCCCGAGGGCCTGGGGTCAGTAGGAGGCCCCATGAGATGTCCCTGGTACCTTTCATAGGCTTTCTTGGGTGTGGTTTGAGTGTGGGCGAGGACACAGGGGCCCCATGATCCCCTATTGCCCAGGAGCCCCATGAGTTGTCAGTCCGCCCCTGTACCGATGTGCCTCACCCAATGTGCAAATACTGCACCCCACACAGCTGCCCCAACTGCTCCCCACCATTGTCCTGATTGTTCCTATTCTGAATAATGTCAATTTGAAATCGGTGTATCACAATGATACTTTGTAATGCCTTGCATTGCGCAATAAAAATTTACTTGCCAAAAAAAAAAAAAAGATCCACCCTTGTTGATATATACACAGTTTATACTGTATATACTCCCACATGGAAGAAGAATATATTTGAAATATATTTTAAAAATATTCTTCCCAAATATATTGACATATATTTGAAATTCTACAATTTTGGCCATATTCAATATATTTAAAAATATATTTCAATAAATAAATATATATATTTATAATATATATATATATATATATATATATATATATATATATATATTGCATGTTGAAATACGTTTTTTATTACAAAATATATGAAAAATATTTTTAAAAATATATATTTTTTAAATATATTCTTCTTTTTTTAACATATAAAAAAGTCATTTTAACATATATTTTACATATATTTGTAAATGCATTCCAAAAATGTATATTAAATGTATTTTTAAAGATATACAGTATGTTTGAAAATGTATTTTTAAAAATATATTTCAATAAATATATATATACTGCATGTTGAAATGCGTTTTATTACAACATATATGAAAAATATTTTTAAAAATACATTTTCAAACATACTGTATAAGGAGGGGAAGAGCAGAACACAGACAGGTATTGACCATAATGCAGAAAATGGTAAAAACCCTTCTGCCCTTACAACCACTTTAATTTGAGTCTTTAATGAATTTTCAAGAAGGGCCAACGCATTTTGGGCATTGTGATCCCTTTGTCAGGGCCTATCATAGACATGGTGTTTATTAATAAAGGTGATCCTGCCAGTAAATACGTTGTTTTTTCTTTTTCTTTAAAAGGGCAAGGTTGTCTAGAAAGAGCCTAACTTACAAGGGTCGGGAGCAGGGGCGGACTGACAACTCATGGGGCCCCCGGGCAATAGGGGATCATGGGGCCCCTGTGTCCTTGCCCACACTCAAAGCACACCCAAAAAAAGCCCCAATAAGAGGTACCAGGGGCATTTCATGGGGCACCACTGACCCCACTGACCACTGACAACGCTGCTGTGTGCTGAACTGCTGAACAAACAGAACTGAAGTCTTGATACAAGAAGTGAAAAATAACAGATCTGCTGGCAGGATCAACAGGTAATAAAAAAAACATATAAGAACACCTGAATCAGATGATTGGGAGGTGATTGGACACACCCTAATCACACCGTATGGCACAGATTTTCCCTGCTGCCCAGCTACCCCCCCCTGGATGTTTCAGGATGGAGAATGGAGGAAAGGGCCAGTAAATATGTCATTTACTGGCCCTATCCTTTTCTGAATGACCACATGAGTGATCAGTACTGATCCCTCACTGTGTTCATTCATAACTGAAGCATAGGAAACTGTGTTTCCTATGCTTCAGCTTATGAATGAACAGGACGCTGCTCAGCACTTCCCTTTCATTCACTATCCAGTGCAGCTGAGGCTGCAGAAAAGGGGACTGGCCCCATCCTTTTCTGAATGACCACATGAGTGATCAGTACTGATCCCTCACTGTGTTCATTCATAACTGAAGCATAGGAAACTGTGTTTCCTATGCTTCAGCTTATGAATGAACAGGACGCTGCTCAGCACTTCCCTTTCATTCACTATCCAGTGCAGCTGAGGCTGCAGAAAAGGGGACTGGGGAATCTCTGTCCTCAGTCCCTTTCTCTGTCTGTTTAGACTCCTGATATTTCAACAAAGCTCCCTCAATGCAGCTCCTAAACAAATAATAAAAAATAATATTGCGAAAAAATTGTGAAAAAAAATAAATTAAAAAATAAATTAATTAAGGAAAATAAAAAAAAAAAGCTACCGACACCAACCTCTGCCCTACTGAAAGAGTCCACTATTCTACCGACACCAACCTCTGCCCTACTGAAAGCGTCCACTATTCTACCGACACCAACCTCTACCCTACTGAAAGCGTCCACTATTCTACTACCGACACCAACCTCTGCCCTACTGAAAGCGTCACTATTCTACCGACACCAACCTCTGCCCTACTGAAAGCGTCCACCATTCTACTGACACCAACCTCTGCCCTACTGAAAGCGTCCACTATTCTACCGACACCAACCTCTGCCCTACTGAAAGCGTCCACTATTCTACTGACACCAACCTCTGCCCTACTGAAAGCGTCCACTATTCTACCGACACCAACCTCTGCCCTACTGAAAGCGTCCACTATTCTACCGACACCAACCTCTGCCCTACTGAAAGCGTCCACTATTCTACTGACACCAACCTCTGCCCTACTGAAAGCGTCCACTATTCTACCGACACAACCAACCTCTGCCCTACTGAAAGCGTCCGCTATTCTACCGACACCAACCTCTACCCTACTGAAAGCATCCACTATTCTACCGACACCAACCTCTGCCCTACTGAAAGAGTCCACTATTCTACCGACACCAACCTCTGCCCTACTGAAAGCGTCCACTATTCTACTGACACCAACCTCTGCCCTACTGAAAGCATCCACTATTCTACCAACACCAACCTCTACCCTACTGAAAGCGTCCACTATTCTACCGACACCAACCTCTGCCCTACTGAAAGCGTCCGCTATTCTACCGACACCAACCTCTACCCTACTGAAAGTGTCCGCTATTCTACCGACACCAACCTCTGCCCTACTGAAAGCGTCCACTATTCTACTGACACCAACCTCTGCCCTACTGAAAGAGTCCACTATTCTACCGACACCAACCTCTACCCTACTGAAAGCGTCCACTATTCTACCAACACCAACCTCTGCCCTACTGAAAGAGTCCACTATTCTACCGACACCAACCTCTACCCTACTGAAAGCGTCCGCTATTCTACCGACACCAACCTCTGCCCTACTGAAAGAGTCCACTATTCTACCGACACCAACCTCTGCCCTACTGAAAGCGTCCACTATTCTACCGACACCAACCTCTACCCTACTGAAAGTGTCCGCTATTCTACCGACACCAACCTCTACCCTACTGAAAGCGTCCACTATTCTACCGACACCAACCTCTGCCCTACTGAAAGAGTCCACTATTCTACCGACACCAACCTCTACCCTACTGAAAGCGTCCACTATTCTACTGACACCAACCTCTACCCTACCGAAAGCGTCCGCTATTCTACTGACACCAACCTCTACTCTACTGAAAGCGTCCGCTATTCTACTGACACCAACCTCTGCCTTACTGAAAGAGTCCACTATTCTACCGACACCAACCTCTGCCCTACTGAAAGCGTCCGCTATTCTACCGACACCAACCTCTACCCTACTGAAAGAGTCCACTATTCTACTGACACCAACCTCTGCCCTACTGAAAGAGTCCACTATTCTACCGACACCAACCTCTACCCTACTGAAAGAGTCCACTATTCTACTGACACCAACCTCTGCCCTACCGAAAGCGTCCACTATGTCCGAGACCGCGTGTTTGACAGCCGAGGCCGCGAATATGTGATTTTGCGCACCCCTGCCGCCCTGTAGCAGTCTTCCTGCTGTACGGTGGCGGTAAAGCGGTAATTTTAAAGAGAACATTAAAATTAAAATAAATTGCAATTTTTAAAAAAGTGTCCTCTTCCTGTCTCACTTGCATCCATGTTTTTAAAAAAAAAACGTTATAAATGTCTCCAGCGCACAGCGAAGGGCGTTCCGCGCTTATTAATGGCTTTCCTCTCATTTGCGCGGAGAGTCGTAACCGTTCTAATTGTCAGATCACGGCACAGCGTTTTTAGAGGTCAGATTTATTTCCCCGCTAAACAGCCCCTTTCATTCACAAGTGTTTATTCCCCACTAAAGGACGGCGGCCGAGTCATTAGACGCAAAACGCATTAGCTGTCAGATTTCAATTTTCCCGGAGAGCGATTTTCAGGGTCATTGCTCCAAACAGGCTCCTTTAAAATTAAAAAATGGATTCCTCTTTATCAGCGAGGACCCGAATTAATCATCGGCGTGTAAGGCTTGACTCTATACCGCGGTCCCCGAGGGACGCGACTGCGAGAGGCCTCCGGGGATTCATCTGTACGGAGGGGTCCCAATGGAGGGCTCGGCTCTTGAAGGGTGACATGACACAGCCGGGGTGTCATCCATCATTTATTAATGTGATTATCAGGAAACTGTGCATAGATCATACCGGTCCGTGTCATGATGGAGAGCTCCAGATAAAGCGCATTTATATGGTGATTTAGTCCCTTTAAAACGGAGAACTGTCCTTTTTTTTTTTTAGACAGAAAACATGTAATTATATAAGATCCCTAACATTTAAAGATTTTTTTTTTAAGCTGATGATATTTTTCTTATTCTTTGCCTTTTCTTTCCCCCTCATCAATATGATATCAAAAACTAAATAAATAAATAATTATGTATTTAATTAATTCATTAATTAATTATTTAATGAATTAAAGTTCTATTCCTTCACTGCTGAAAAACAAAACAAAAAAAAACTAAAAAAAAATTACGTAATTAATTAATTGATTAATTAATTAATACAACAAAAATGTAATGACAAAAAATAGCTGCCTGTCCTGGTCCGCCTCCCCCCCCCCCCCTCATCATTATGATATCAAAAACGAAAATAAATAAATAATTATGTATTTAATTAATTAATTAATTATTTATTTAATTAATTAAAGTTCTAATCCTTCACTGCTGAAAAACAAAACAAAAAAAAAAAAACTAAAAAAAAATTACGTAATTAATTAATTGATTAATTAATTAATACAACAAAAATGTAATGACAAAAAATTGCTGCCTGTCCTGGTCCGCCTCCCCCCCCTCATCAATATGATATCAAAAACTAAAATAAATAAATACATAATTATGTATTTTAATATTAACTAATTAATTAATTAACGTTCTAATCCTTCACTGCTGAAAAACAAAACAAAAAAAAATTAAAAATAATTATGTAATTAATTAATTAATTAATTAATACAAACAAAATGTAATGACAAAAAATGGCTATACATGCGCTGTCCTGAAATAGTTACATGGTCACCCTCCATCAATATGATAATAAATAATTAACTAAAACCTTTCCATTTTCATTATCTCTCCATTGGGACACCTAAACTGACAAAAGTTCAAATCCTTCACTGCTAAACAACAAACCAAAAAATTTAAATAAATAAAACAAATAAATACATAAATAATTCCGTAATTAATTAATTAATTAAAACAACAAAAAATGTAATCACAAAAAATGGCTGTACATGCACTGTCCTGAAACAGTCACACGGTCATCCTCTCATCATTATAATAATAAAAATATTAAATAAACCCTTTCCATTTTCATTATCTCCCCCATTGGAACACCTAAACTGACAAAAAGTCCTAATTCTTCATTGCTGAAAAACTAAAAATAAATAAATATGTAAATAATTAATTAATTAATACAACAAAAATGTAATGACAAAAAATGGCTGTACATGCACTGTCCTGAAATAGTTACACGGTCACCCTCTCATCAATATGATAATAAATAATTAACTAAAACCTTTCCATTTTCATTATCTCTCCATTGGGACACCTAAACTGACAAAAGTTCAAATCCTTCACTACTAAAAAACAAACCAAAAAATTTAAATAAATAAAACAAATAAATACATCAATAATTACGTAATTAATTAATTAATTAATTAATTAATTAAAACAACAAAAATGGAATCACATAAAAATGGCTGTACATGCACTGTTCTCAAACAGTCACACGTTCACCCTCTCATCAATATAATAATAAAAAATATTAAATAAAACCTTTCCATTTTCATTATCTCCCCCACTGGGACACCTAAACTCCTAATTCTTCACTGCTGAAAAACTAAATTAAATAAATATTTAAATATTTTTTTTTTAAGCTGATGATTATTTTGCTTATACTTTGCCTGTCCTGGTCCGCCCCCCCCCCCCCCCCCTCATCAATATGATATCAAAAACTAAAATAAATAAAGAATTATGTATTTAATTAATTAATTAAAGTTGTAATCCTTCACTGCTGAAAAACAAAACAAAAAAAAAACGAAAAAAAAAAAAAAAATTACGTAATTAATTAATTGATTAATTAATTAATACAACAAAAATGTAATGACAAAAAATGGCTGTACATGCGCTGTCCTGAAATAGTTACAAGGTCACCCTCCCATCAATATGATAATAAATAATTAACTAAAATCTTTCCATTTTCATTATCTCTGCATTGGGACACCTAAACTGACAAACGTTCAAATCCTTCACTGCTAAAAAAAACAAAAAAAAAATTAAAATAAATAAAACAAATACATAAATAATTACGTAATTAATTAATCAATCAAAACAACAAAAATGGAATGACAAAAACATGGCTGTACATGCACTGTCCTGAAACAGTTACAAGGTCATCCTCTCATCAATATGATAATAAAAATATTAAATAAAACCTTTCCATTTTTATTATCTCCCCATTGGGACACCTAAACTGACAAAAGTCCTAATTCTTCACTGCTGAAAAACTAAAATAAATAAATATTTAAATATTTTTTTTTTAAGCTGATGATTATTTTGCTTATACTTTGCTTGTCCTGGTCCGCCTCCCCCCCTCATCAATATGATATCAAAAACTAAAATAAATACATAAATAAATAAATAATTATGTATTTAATTAATTAATTAATTAAAGTTCTAATCCTTCACTGCTGAAAAACAAAACAAAAAAAAAATAAAAAAATAATTATGTAATTAATTAATACAACAAAAAAAAAATGTAATGACAAAAAATGGCTGTACATGCGCTGTCCTGAAATAGTTACATGGTCACCCTCTCATCAGTATGATAATAAATAATTAACTAAAACCTTTCCATTTTCATTATCTCTCCATTGGGACACCTAAACTGACAAACGTTCAATTCCTTCACTGCTAAAAAACAAACAAAAAAATTTAAATAAATAAAACAAATAAATAAATAAATAATTATGTAATTAATTAAAACAACAAAAATGTAATCACAAAAAATAGCTGTACATGCACTGTCCTGAAACAGTTACACGTTCACACCCTCTCATCAATATAATAATACAAATATTAAATAAAACCTTTCCATTTTCATTATCTCCCCCATTGGGACACCTAAACTGACAAAAGTTCTAATCCTTCACTGCTGAAAAACAAAAAAAAAAAAAAAAAATAAAAAAATAATTACGCAATTAATTAATTAATACAACAAAAATGTAATGACAAAAAATGGCTGTACATGCACTGTCCTGAAATAGTTACACGGTCACCCATGAAAGTTATATATTGGGGCGGATTTACTAAAAGGCAAATAGACTGTGCACTTTGCAATTACAGTTGTACTCACGTTCCCCAGAGTTTAGTGAATGCGGTGAAGCGTCTCTTTGTAATGAATATCCAACCATACAAAGGGAAAATTAAAAAACAAACAAACAAAAAAACAGCATTTTTTTCTTGCACATGGTTGGATGATGGAAGTCAGCAGAGATTTAACACATTCACTAAGGGGAATGGGAAAATGAGCGCAACTGCACTTGCAAAGCACAGTCTGTTTTTAAAAAAAAACCTCAAAAAAAATAGTAAACCAAAATAAAATAAAAAAAAAATTTTTAAAAAATGTAAATAAAAAAAAAAAAAAAGATTAAAAAAAAAAATCGGCTATGCAATGCATTGTTCCCTGGTTCCTCCATCCTCTGGCTCATCAACATGCATAGTCTATTCAAAACTAAAAGAAAAACAAAAAAAAAAAAAGCAAAAAACAAACTTTAACAATAGTAAACCGAAATAAAAAATAAATAAATAGATTATATATATCTATAAGGTACATGAGGCGCAGGTGTCAATCATTGGGAGGGGTGATCAGGGAATTATTTTTTTTTTCACAATGTTATTACTTATACAGAAGATCACTGTACAAGCCATAGTTTTAACCGTCATGAGCTAAAATCGGACAGAAGGGGGCGCCAATCTCAGTGTAGGGGGTTAATGGTGTCAAAAGGAGTAAAAACTACTTTGAGTAGTTTTTACTCCTTTTGACACCATTAAAGTATGAAGTGCACCCCTAGCCAGGAACAGGCTGGATGATGTACAGGTATGTGATCCAGCAGGCCTGAATCGGTTAAAGTGGTTGCAAACCTCAGACGTTATAAACAAAGCACATCCCTCTATGGTGTGTATTTGTCTCTATCTAGAGCACTGAGTGTCATTTCTGTCTGCTGCTTCCTTCCTCTTCTATCAGCATGAATCGCTTCTGACAATTTTCCCAAACACCAAGAGAAAAATGGTGACAGGGGAGGGGAGCTCCAGAACACAGCCTGTGATTGACAGCCTCAGCTCTGTTTCTATGAGCTGTGTGGAGGGGGGGGGGGGGGGGGGGGGGGGGAGTGTCATTTCCCACCAATCAGCTCTCAGAGCTCTCTTCACTGAGCTCTGTGGAGTGTTTTATCAGCTCCCTGTCCACTGCTCTTTGAAAGCTCAGACGGGATGTATAATTCAGCACTTTGAAGAGCTGTAAAGGAGAGGAGACCGTTGATAAACAGGTACAACTTATGCAAGAGGATTTGTTTAATCTCTTTGTATTACCTGAACTAGTCACTTCACTGGGTACATGTAATGGTTTACAGCCACTTTAAATCCTTGCCACGTATAGAATTCACCTGGAGAATTTTTCATCCTTATTTAACCACTTCCTGTCCGGCCGCTGTATATAAACGGGCAGACGGTGGCAGTGCAGGGGTGGGTTGCCACTCATAAATGGTGCCCGCCATTTTGGACTGTGAGCATTCCCTGGGAGCGTGCGGCACCGCGCTCCGGTGCCCGCTGTGTCCTGATCGCTATACGGAACCTCTGTGTGAGGTCCCGATCATGTGATCACTGATTGGCCAATCAGTGGTCATATGAATAGGTGTAAGCAAGATGTCACTTGTGACATCATTGCTTACTACTAATGAAATCTGTGAATGATCACAGAGGTCACATGGTACAGGGCCATTCACAACAGCCTTGTACCATGCGACAAGCGGTGACCAATCACAGCTCACACAGTATTTCTCAATGGCTGCAAGAATGCAGCCAGAGAGAAGGAGAAATTATTGCTTTTTGGGTGTAAAAGCAATCAGTGTAAAAAAAAAAAATCTTCATCACCCCCCACAAGTAGTACAGTGTCACTATAGTGATACTGTGCTGCTAGGGTGACAGTATGTTAAAATAAAAACAAAAAGAAAAAAAACAAATAATAATATAAAAAAATAAAATAAAAATGTAAAAACAAATTTAGAAAAATTTTAATTTTTGGTTATAAACTAATCTGGGTTATTTTTTTTTACCAAAAAGAAAACTGAATAAGTTTTGGCCAAGATTTATGAAGAAAGATTATTTATTTGCAAAATTGTATAAGAAAAGCACTTTTTTTTCAAAATGTTTGGACTTTTTCATTTATATATATAAAAAAAAAAAAAAATAAAAAATCCCAGCGGTGAATAAATACCACTAAAATAAAGTTTTACCTTTATTAGGGGGTCTCAAAAAAAATGCTAAAAAATTCATATGGGTACAGTGTTGCATGACCGCGCAATTGTCAAAGTGTGATAGCGCTGAAAGCTGAAAATTGGCCTGGACAGGAAGGGGGTGAAAGTGTCCGGACTGGAAGGGGGGAAAGTGTCCGGACTGGAAGGGGGGGAAAGTGTCCGGACTGGAAGGGGGGGAAAGTGTCCGGACTGGAAGGGGGGGAAAGTGTCCGGACTGGAAGGGGGTGAAAGTGTCCGGCCTGGAAGGGGGGGAAAGTGTCCGGGACTGGAAGGGGGTGAAAGTGTCCGGACTGGAAGGGGGTGAAAGTGTCTGGCCTGGAAGGGGGGGAAAGTGTCCGGACTGGAAGTGGTTAAGGGCCAAACCTTCGATAAATATTCCCATTAATGCTTCCCAGTATACAGGAGTGCTGCAAATACTGATTTTTTTTTTTAACCACCTCCCGTCCTCTGCTTGTGCGTGCGATCCGGTGCCCGCTGTGTTCTCTGGACACAGTGAAACACTGATCGTCGGACGAGACCTCTGTGCGAGGTCCCGATCATGTGATCACTGATTGGCCAATCAGTGATCACATGCAGAGTAGTAAGCAAGATGTCACTTCTGACATCATTGCTTACTACGTGTGAAATCTGTGAATGATCACAGAGGTCACATGGTACAGGGCTATTCACAACGGCCTTGTACCATGTGACAAGCAGTAACCAATCACAGCTCACACAGTATTTCTAAATTGCTGCAGGAATGCAGCCAAAGAGAAGGAGAAATGATTGATATTACAGCCTTTATGGGTGTAAAAGCAATCAGTGTAAAAAAAAAAAAAAATCTTCATCACCCCCCCCAAAAGTAGTACAGTGTCACCATGGTCACTACTAGGGTGACAGTATGTAAAAAAAAAATAATAATAATATATAAAAATTATGTTTAAAAATTATAATTTTTGGTTATAAACTAATTTGGGTTATTTTTTTTTTTACTAAAAAGATAACGGAATAAATCATAAGATTTATGATGAAAAAATTTTATAAGAAAAACACAGGAAAGGGGTAAAAGTGTCCGGACTGGAAGTGGCTAAAGAGGCAAAGAATGAAGTCTTACAATCTGACAGCCCCTCCTTTATCCTCTACCCGTAGCAGGTTTAATCTCATTGGCCGATTTTCCAAAAGCTGGTCGGAAAAAAGACGCTCCAAAAAGAAAACAATCACCTACTTTCAGGGTAGGACTTCTTCATAAATCTCCCCTTTCCCTTTCTGTAACATGTATGTCTGTGAACCAGCAGGGGGCAGCGTTGCTCCAATTTACAATTTCCTATTACCAGTTAAATTCCATCCTTCTGCTGACAATAAATGGCCATATCGTCACATTTTAATAACCGTATGGTCGACCTGCTGCAGCACTGAGAACTGAGTAAACATCAACATCCTTTATCCCGAAAGAAGACGTCTATTATTTTTCACGTTATCCTGATTGAAAATTCAGCGCTGCGAGACGTTCTGTGACATCATCGGTCACATTTCATTCATTCAGGAGCGGACGGGGTTACAATGTATCTCAGCGGGCCGGGATCGTTCAGACGGGGTGACGTTAGGGACCTGTGTTTGTAATGCAGATAGAGAGATCTTGTATGTAAACCTATTTTTCGGTGTGTTTGGTCTCCTACTCCACTGTATGCAGTTTTCGGAATCATATAATTTGCTGGTAATTTGTTTCAGATTTTCTCCCCTGGAGATCCTGTCAGTTGTAGTCCTTCTTGTGGCTGGCCGGCCATGTGTAAAGCTGAATCCCAGTCAGAGTTCCTCCAGCATCATCTAGCCTAAATGTGTCAGAGACAAGGCCCACGGGCCGCATCCGGCCCGCCAGGCCATATCATACCTCACACCTCTCCTGCAGCTACAGCACCTTTTTGATCTCCACCCCTGTCCCCACCTTGTCTCAGCAGTCAGCAGCTGAGAGGAAGACAGAGCTTCTCCTACAGATTCTTAGTCTCTCTGTGCAGCTACAGCATCCCCTTCATCTCCACCCCCACCTTGTCTCAGCAGTCAGAAGCAGAGAGAAGGATCAAACTCCTCCTACAGATCCTGCATCTGTCTGTGCAGCTGCAGCACCCCCTTCATCTCCACCCCTACCTTGTCTCAGCAGTCAGCAGGGGAATGAAGGACAGAACTCCTACAGATCCTGCATCTCTCTGTGCAGCCGCAGCACCCCCTTCGGCTCCACCCCCAACATGTCTCAGAAGCCAGCAGTATAGAGGAGGACAGAACTCCTCCTACAGATCCTGCATCTCTCTGTGCAGCTGCAGCACCCCCTTCATCTCCACCCCTACCTTGTCTCAGCAGTCAGCAGGGAAATGAAGGACAGAACTCCTACAGATCCTGCATCTCTCTGTGCAGCCGCAGCACCCCCTTCGGCTCCACCCCCAACATGTCTCAGAAGCCAGCAGTACAGAGGAGGACAGAACTCCTCCTACAGATCCTGCATCTCTCTGTGCAGCCGCAGCACCCCTGTCAGGAATGGACTCTGGTGAGCACTGGTGGTGGGACTCACCTGCTGTGTGGGCTGCAGTACCAGGGCTGACCAGCGGGTGCTCTCAGCAGCCAGAAGCTCACTCCTGCAGTCAGCCAACACCTGGGTTTGATTGCAGGAGGTGTATTTAAGGAATGACCAGGCCTGTGATCAGTGCCTTGGTGTATGTTTCCCATGAGCCCCTGTACCTGGTATCCTGTGTTCCTGCCTATCTGCCTAGTTGCTGACCCTGCTTTGATCCTGACTTCTGCTGACCATCTCCTGTTGAACCCCTGGCTTGCCTGACCATCCTTCTGCCTGATCCTCTGTACCGCGCTGCCCGTGAGTTACTGAACCCGGCTTGTGACCCTGACTATTCTCTGCCTGCTCCTCCGGTACCTCACTGCCCGCACGTTGCTGACCTGGCCTGCCTGACTACGCCTGACGCTACCCAGACGATCCATCCATCCCGCACGGATCCAGTCACTACTGTCCAAACCTGCCAGCCCCTCGGCGGACCCCTCTACCACAGTTGGGTGCACTCAGGGGCCGCGACCTGGTCTCAGTCCTGCGCCAAGTCCATCCCCACCATCAGGGGCTCTGGTGAAAAGGCAGACTGGGGCTTAGACTCCGCGCACTGGGGAATCCTGGTCTGTGGGTCACTAGAGATCCCGCCGGGCAGTGCCTGACAGTACCTTACGGCCCGCCTGACCATTCCACCTCTCCAACCCTGACTACACCTGTGTTCCTAAAGCATGCTACTTCCCTGTGTCAGTCCACACATTTCTGGTCACACCCCAATCCCTGACAACCCCCTTCATCTCCACCCCCACCTTGTCTCAGAAGCCAGCAGCACAGGAGAGGACAGAACTCCTACCACAGATCCTGTGTCTCTCTGTGCATCCGCAGCACCCCATCTCCATCCCCACCTTCAGAAGCTCCAGAAGAGGAGGAGAGAACTCCCCACCTTGTCTCAGTGCAGCCGCAGCAGCACAGAACAGAGGAGAGAACTCCTACCACAGATCCTGTGTCTCTCTGTGCAGCCGCAGCACCCCCTTCATCTCCATCCCCACCTTGTCTCAGAAGTCAGCAGCACAGAAGGAGAGAACTCCTACCACAGATCCTGTGTCTCTCTGTGCAGCCGCAGCACCCCCTTCATCTCCACCCCCACCTTGTCTCAGAAGCCAGCAGCACAGAAGAGGACAGAATTCCTACCACAGATTCTGTGTCTCTCTGTGCAGCCGCAGCACCCCTTCATCTCCATCCCCACCTTGTCTCAGCAGTCAGCAGCACAGAAGAGCACAGAACTCCTACCACAGATCTTGTGTCTCTCTGTGCAGCTGCAGCACCCCCTTAATCTCCACCCCATCTTGTCTCAGCAGCAGAGAGGAGGACAGAACTTCTACAGATCCTGCATCTCTTTGTGCAGCCGTAGCACCCCATTCGTCTCCCCCCCCCCCCCCCCTCACGCACCTTGTCTCAGCATTCAGCAGCAGAGGAAGACAGAACTCTTCTTACAGATCCTGCATCTGTCTGTGCAGCTGCAGCACCCCCTTCATCTCCACCCCATCTTGCTTGTCTCTCAGTAGCCAGCAGCAGAGAGGAGGACAGAACTTCTACAGATCCTGCCTCTCTCTGTGCAGCCGCAGCACCACCTTTGTTTCTGCCCCCAAACAGGGCAGCACAGAGGAGGACAGAACCTCTACTACAGATCAAGAGTCTCTCTGTGCAGCCGCAGCACCCCCTTTGTCTCCACCCTCACCTTGTCTCAGGAGTCAGCAGCAGAGAGGAGGACAGAATTCCTACAGATTCTGTGTCTCTCTGTGCAGCCGCAGCACCCCCTTCATCTCCACCCCCCACCTTGTCTCAGAAGCCAGCAGCACAGAACAGGAGAGAACTCCTACCACAGATCCTGTGCCTCTCTATGCAGCCGCAGCACCCCCTTCATCTCCATCCCCACCTTGACTCAGCAGTCAGCAGCAGAGAGGAGGATTCTGTGTCTCGTTGTGCAGCTGCAGCACCCACCTCCAACCCTCTTCTCATCCTCCTCCAGACCCTGCACTTTCTGCTTCCCAGCTCTGCCCCCAGCAGCACACGATAAGGTGGGTGCACTGTGATGTAAGGGAGGGGTGGGGGCTCTGGACATCTAGTCTTACAGATTCAACCATCCCATTAAGGGCAAACATAATGCTGATGCGGCCTGTGATGAAACTGAATTTGACACCCCTGATCTAGCCCTTTTTAACAGCATATGCTTACATTTCCTTCCTCGCCCCCTACCGATCAGTCTGGTCAGCAAGAGTGAGGAAAATTCACTGTATATAATGAGAAAGATCCGCACTCCAATTTCCACCTAATTATTGTAGAATATCCATTAAAGGGCAACTGCTGATGCATTTCAGGCTCACCAACGCTTACAGCTGAGTGTGAAACGCGTCAACACTTGCTTCCCCTCACTATTGCTGTGATTTGCAATTTTTTTGGATATTCTACAATATTATAATTAGGTGGAAATTGGAGTGAGCTCTCATGCAGCCCCAGACCATGGCACTCCCACCACCATGCTTGGCTGTAGGCAAGACACACTTGTCTTTGTACTCCTCACCTGGTTGCCACCACACACGCCTGACACCATCTGAACCAAAGCAGTTGATCTTGGTGTCATCAGACCACAGGGCATGGTTCCAGTAATCCATGTCCTTAGTCTGCTTCTCTTCAGCAAACTGTTTGTGGGCTTTCTTGTGCATCATCTTTAGAAGAGGCTTCCTTCTGGGACGAAAGCCATGCAGACCAATGTGATGCAGTGAGCGGCGTATGGTCTGAGCACTGACAGGCTGACCCCCCACCCCTTCAACCTCTTGGCCACTGTACTGCAGCTCAGTTTCAGGGTCTTGGCAATCTTCCTATAGCCTAGGCCATCTTTATGTAGAGCAACAATTCTTTTTTTCAGATCCTCAGAGAGTTCTTTGCCATGAGGTGCCATGTTGAACTGCCAGTGACCAGTATGAGAGAGTGAAAGCAATGTCCGGTACTCACGGAAAGCTCCCGATCTCCTCTTTCAATCGGGACCTTTACCGATCATGTGACCGCCGTGACGGCGTGTCACGACAGTCACATGACCCTAAACCCTGCCCCGCCTCCCAGCTTTTGGAACCCTTAAAGGGCCGGGAGGCACCGGCGCCAAGGGGCTAACCCCTTGACGCCGACGTAACACAAATATGCGGCCCCACAGAATTGGGCTTTTTTCCGTGGGGCCGCATATTTGCGTACCTTTCTTTCTGCTGGGAGTGCACCGCACGGCGCGCTCCCAGCACAAAGACCGCGGTGTCACTGAGAGCCCTGGGTCCCGTTCTAACGATTGGGACCTGGGACTCCCGATTCCGGGTAACATGATCACTGTGATAGCCTCTGATTGGCTATCACAGTGATCAGTCACTGTACAGCCCGGCCCCCTTGTTTTTTTCTCTCTCTATGAATGGAGGAGAGAGATACATTGTATATCTCTAACTCCTGGCATCGAGGGAAAAAAATATGTTTGTAAAAAAAAAAAGATAAATAAATATTTAAAAATATTAAA